CGCGGCGGGGGGGGAGGGTGGGGCGTCTCGGGCAGCCCGAGAGGGAGCCGTCTGCCGCCGCCCGCCACGCCGCGATTGGACAGGAACTGCAGAGGGAGCCACCGCTCTAAAAGAGCCTCGCTCTTTCTTTACCCAACAAGCCCTCCGCTTCCTCTGCGCCGGGAGGAGAGCGAGAGGCTTTTGGTTTCCCCGGTTCGGTCAGGACGGCCGCAGATCGTCGGCGCAGTGGTCGTGCGGGCTTTAATGGCAACGGTGCCGATGCCCCAGGCAGGAAACATCGTCGATGCCATCAGTTACATCCTCACGAATACGATCATAGATAGCATTACTAAGCACTTTGAAATCCTGTGCCGCCCTGTCGTGCAGAGTTTGGTGTTCCTTTCGATGATCTTCGGGCTGCCATCTCCTCGTTGCAAAAATCTGGAGGTTCACTAAATGGCAGAAACTTTTTGCTGCCCCATAGAGGTAACCGTATTTAGTCAAGTATGGGAGTCATACAATTCTAACTCCTCAAGCAATATAGTACATAGAATTGGATCCAGACATTGACTTATTTCCTCAATCCTTCCTCAAAGTTACTGTCCCCTTTATTTCAGTGACTCTACACGGGATTACATTTGAATCCAATCCATCCATTAATCTGGGCGTCATGTTTCACAGAGTAAAACACACAAACACACATTGGAAGTGAGTGTATATTCTGGTGATTGGCTATTTGCTATCAGTGATCCTAATGGTACTAAGACCCTTTTCACATTTTCTTGGAAATAAGCACAAAATATTTATATCTGTAAAGTGATTATGCCCCAGCTGAGTCCCTGGAACCAGGATAACTTCTAGAGGAAGGTTCCTGGAGCTGCTAATCAAAGGTGACTGTGGAATTGTTCTCTCTTTTCCTCAAAAATCATCTTCTTAGTTTTCTGGTAAGGAAAAGAACATCATGTTTCACAGAGTAAAACATAAAAACAGGAGAGAAAACAGTGAATGAGTCAGCACAATGAAAGTATCATCTAGAAAGAACTTTGTTCCCATTAAAATAAGAGAAACAAGACATAATTAAGGTGTCTTCCAATTTAAGTGCAGCTCATTTGGTCCAATGCTATATTATTTATAATGGGGAATTCTAATCTGCTCCTTGTATAAGTGCTATTTCTATTATTAAAGTATTGTAATTGTGAAAAGATACTCTTGGGGAACACAATGAATGTTGTAATGCCTTTTCAAATCCATTTGTTTCATTAGATTTAACACAATTCCATGGAAGATCTGGATACTATCCTAGTAAAGATTTGTAAATATACCTGCATGTTTACATGTACAGTATTTCATTATACATTCCTTTTATAAAGTATAGTGTGAACTCTGTTTTAAAATACCTTTCAACCCCACCCCCACTCTTTCTCTATATTCACAATAAGTATAATATAAACACTTGTGATCACCTAAATAGTTGTTCAAAGCACCACTTTCCTGTAATATAGTTACAGGGGTTTGTGTTCCCTTTCACTAATGTCTGCATGTGAGTGTCTGGTATATCCCAACCTGACCTTAGAGAAGCCAGGTAAGAACACGGTGTCATTCTGGAAAAATTAGTACTGCTAGCTCAGAGACACAGTCATTTTTGCTGTAACCTTCCCTGCAAAGTTGCTCAAAGTGGAGGTAGAAAGTGTATAATGATGGTTTTCAGATATGTGCCTACAAATTTAGACTAGGACATGGGCAGATAAATACCAATTTGGAGACTCATAGCATGGCAATGAGCTACTGTTTGAAGATGGCGGGAGTTACAGTCTGGCACCTAGTTGAGGAAGAATAGGATACATTCTTTGAGAAGAGTAAGTGGCTGTACTGGAGTCTGCTGCGGGAAGCCAACATTAAAAATGATTATTCAGAAATAAGTATTTGCTCATAGAAAGAAGTGATAGTTATGATAATACTGTGTATCCCTTACAATTATTTTAAAGGACGATGTGAATGTTATTACATGAAGTTTATAAGATATATATTTAATAAATAACTTATGAAGCTTTGGTTTGTTCTTTGACATCATCATGGGCATTATCCATTAAGGATCAATGAATAACTGGACCCCCATTCAGTTCAGTAGACCTTGTTATGTTGTTGAAAGTTAGTTTCTTCCTTCCTTATAGTTATAAAACAACAAACATATGTATATAAGCGTTACTGTTTCTTTCCCAAAGAGCTGAATTAATATAGACTTTATGTAATGCTGCTATTAGCTTAAGAAATTCACCACCACTAAAGTGTAATGACCGTTGTTTACTGATTTCAATGGCTTGCAAAAGAACACGGCCCCACAGATTAACACTCATTAATCATAGTAACTGAATAGATGTTACCCTGTTGAGATACTTCTAATTGCCAGATGTTGGGATCAAACAAAATGGGAGGGTAGCATCTGTAAACTTTCCAAAAGTATACCACTGACCATATATGGCCATTAGTCAGTCAGTCAGTAATCCCCGGCTTCTTCAGTCTTGGTCTGGTAGAGTGTGAGAACTTAGTTCTTAGCATGGCTTCTGTCCAATAAATACCTAGAAGAGGCAGACATACACACTACTGTATCAGCACACAGTTGTGATAATGGAACCTATACTTTGGCTTTTCTTAGTAGTTGGTCAACTTTGTCTGAGCTTGGAAGATAAGCACAGTCAGGCCTAGTTAATATTTGGATAGGAGACCACCAGGGAATTCCAGGGCTGGAAAGCAATGGCAAAACATTTCAATTTTGTCCACAAAACAAAAACAAAACAAAGAAACCCGTGTATAGATTAATCCATGAAAATTCACCAAGACACACAACTCGAAAGGGACTATTTTAACTTTAAATAAAAAACAAAGTCATCCAGAATAACAACAATGTAATGCCACAAATTAATTGTACTATCTCTGACCAGTCATTGTGAGTCCTGTTTTAAAGATCTTTAAAGTTTTAAAGATTCTGAACTGTACTGTACTGTACGGTGTTAGATTGGAGGGCAAAAAAAGTAACATTGTTATTAGAACTATACAAGTCCTAAGAATACTGCAACCAAATTTTGTTACACATAAATTGAATAACATAGCAAGGGAGGACATGTAACTGATAGTTCATGCTTTTAAAGAAGGGTTCAGATATTTGGGGCATCTTATTTACTGATCTTGATACAATCAAGAGATCTAGAAATTTACTAAAGTGATGAGGTGGGAAATGGGGATGCTTCTATGCTGGATTTTTAATCCATTCTTGACGGTTTTGTTCTGATGGGTTTAATTAATAGAGAGGGCTTAGTTTCCATTTCAAAAATTGAAGAAATATTTGTTATAGTCATCTCTGACTATTTCCTTCTTCTGTAATCTCAGATGAGGAATTTACTCGTTCGTGTGGGAAGCTGATCTTACTTCTGGGGCCAAGGGAAGGCTTATCATTTATGCTTCTGGCTTCCCTCACCGGGAAGACTATTGTGCACCTGTAGCACTTGAAAAAAATCCCGCCCCCTGCCCTCCTTTCTTCCACACAATCCCACCACTTTTTCCCAATGACCTTGGACAATTCATTGTTCGGATCAAGTCCCCCGCTGGGGAAAAACCGAAAGTAGCTCTGAGACCCAGCCAGTGTCGCGTCGCGTAGGATGGCGCTTCATTGGAACGGGGGCATGATCGAGGTGCTTGCCTCGGAAGACGCTCGGCGCGCGCGCACGGTTCCCCCCTCCCCGCCAGCAATGACCGGGGCTGGCAAAGAGAAGAAGCCAGTTCGCGCGTCACTGGCCCAACCGGTTATAAATAGGGTCCCCAGCCCCCGCAACAGTCTATGGTTGCCTCTTGACTGAGCCTCTGGGCTCTGGAGCACCCTGGAGGAGGGCAGGCACTTCCCTGGGGGCTCTTCCTCCCGACGGTGTCTGCCCACTGCCGAGCAAGAAGGCGCGGGCAAGCAGCGAGGCGGCGTCCGGGAAAAGCCCCAGCGTCCGGCCCATCGCTCCGTCGAGAGGATGGTCCTGCTGGTCCTCCTGGCCTGGCTCTCGCCCTGGCTTTGCCGGGCGGCGGCGGCGGCTCTGCTGCCCGGCTCCCCCTGCGAGCCGGTGCGCATCCAGATGTGCCGGCACATGCCCTGGAACATGACGCGGATGCCCAACCACTTGCACCACAGCACCCAGGAGAACGCCGTCCTGGCCATCGAGCAGTACCAGGAGCTGGTGGACGCCGGCTGCAGCCCCGTGCTTAGCTTCTTCCTGTGCGCCATGTTCGCCCCCATTTGCACCGTGGAGTTTCTCCACGACCCCATCAAGCCCTGCAAGTCGCTGTGACCCAGGAGAACGCCGTCCTGGCCATCGAGCAGTACCAGGAGCTGGTGGACGCCGGCTGCAGCCCCGTGCTTAGCTTCTTCCTGTGCGCCATGTTCGCCCCCATTTGCACCGTGGAGTTTCTCCACGACCCCATCAAGCCCTGCAAGTCGCTGTGCCAGCGAGCCCGCGACGGCTGCGAGCCCCTCATGAAGAGGTATAACCACAGCTGGCCTGAGGGCTTGTCCTGCGAGGAGCTGCCCGTCTACGATCGGGGTGTGTGCATAGCCCCCGAGGCCATCGTTACGGATCTCCCCGCAGGTGAGGCGAGAGGGGAGCCTGAGCTGCAAGCGGCTCCAGGCCAAGCCAATGACCCGGCTTCCCTGGAGAAGCTCCGCGGGGTGCCTTGGGAGGAGATCGGGCTTGAAAGGCAAGGGGATGGCGCTGCTCGGGGGGCAGGAGGGGGGCAGTTTCCCGCGCGGATTGGGATTCGGGAGAAGTGAGGTGCCTCAAAGAGGTGAGCTGCCACCAGTGAGGTGCCTCAAAGCACTGGAGGCTCTGCGCCCCCACCGCCCAGGCCAGCTTTCAATGGAGCTCGTTCCGAAGAGCGGTCAGCCCGGGGTCAGCCCGCCCTCGAGCAGTCCGGGGAAATCCACCGCGTCCTTCAGGCAACTTCGGGATCCAGCCCACGATTTCGCCCCAGGTCCAGGCCTCTTTTAGTCGGGGGTAAGCTTCGCCGAAGCCGAGAGGGAACTCTCCTCCCCTCCCCTCTGCCGCCCGGCTGCCCTTCCGAGTTGACTTCTTAAGCCCAGGTCGGAATTTGGGCTTCTTTCGGTCCTGGCAGCTGGAGGGGGAAGAGCGACTCACTTCGGAGCCGGCCTGTTCTGAAAGCGGTAAGAGCGGGGCTGGCCAGCCTGCCGGCTCTCTCTCAGGTCCGCACACCTTGTGCAGGGGCAGAGCACAGGTAGGTCTATGTGTGTATGTGTATGTGTGTGTGCGCGCGCGCGCGCATGAACGCAAGAGGATGGACTTTGGAGTTGGGCGACCAGTCTGTCCGCGCCGCAGCGAACCTGCAGAAGTGTCCGGGCGCCTGGCTGGAAGTCTCTTGGCGGATGAGGGGAAAGTCCGCCGGGCAGGTGAGCCCACTTTCCCCGTTCCCTCCCGTCCCTTCTTCACCATCCAACCTCTCACTGCCCCTTTGGGGTGCCTGTTTTCTCGTTAAGAGGAGGTGAAATGGATTGACTTTTCCGAGAACGTGATGCTCCACGAGAAACCGCTGCTTCCCGAGTGCAAGATGCCCAGTAAGTGTTCCTCTTCCTTCTTTCCTACTTCTACGGGGCGCACTTCTGCTTGGGTGTTGGCGACGCTGGGGGTTTACGCTCTTTCTTTTCTTCTCTCTTGCTCTCTGCTTCTAACAAAACTTCTAGATCGCTGCAAGTGCAAGAAGGTGAAACCCACGCTGGCGATTTATCTGAACAAAAACTACAGCTATGGTAAGAAAACCCTCAAGGGATGATGATGATGATGATTACAGACTCGCAAAATCTTTACCATCGTGATTTTCTCCCCCCACCCCCCACGCGTCTTTGCGAAGAGTCTCGCCGTTTTTCAGTGCAGTGAAATCGGACCCCTTAATTATCCATCCCAAGAGGATCAGATTAAAAAAAACAACACCAGAAGACAATTGTGCCAGCCTTGTTCTTTGATTTTGTTTTTGTTTTTCTTGAATTTGGGATTTCCTTTATCAATATCAATGAATTCTTTTATTTACTTAAGATAAACCATCTTTGATCAATGGGATTTGGAAGGAAGGATGAGTTTTTTAAAAAGTAATTTATTTTTTAAATTGAAAAATATGAATAATGTGGTTGGAAATTTTTAAAAAAACCTTTGTACCATCTTCTGAATTTCATACCTCCAAAAAAAAAAAAAAAAAAGAGGCTCTTGGAACTTTGCTGAAATCTGGGTGTTTTAAAAAGTTGGTATTTGGGACTGCCCTGGCTGCACACTTTTTTGGGAAGAACACCCAGTTAAAATAGTATTTTTTCCATTTAAGCTGATGCTGTCCCTCACAGCTTCCAAGTGTGTAACATCTGCAATCCCTTCTTACCTATTATTTCAGAAGTAAGGTCAGCTGACCTGCTGTGGGTATGAGCAGAGATGCATTCTGGGAAGGTATGAGGCACACATCTTTTCTACTGATCACTAGCCAGCCTTCTTTGCAGCCATTTCTCTCCTACATTATTTCTTGGGTTCTTCACAAGCCCGTCACCTCCTCCCCCACTTTTGTTACCAATAAGCTTCCAATAAAGTAGATCAGAGATCTACCATTTTATTTGAGGAAGAAGAGAGGGTGTTGTAACCCTATTCTGCTTTTGTACTATTCTGTGAAATCTATATACTGCTATATACTACTATTTACTGTTTGTAACCTTCAGTTGGGCAAAAAGCATCATAGGGCAACAATTTTTGAATCAACCTACCTCAAATGGGCTAACTTAAAGATTGTGTCCAAAGTCTGGGACCCATTACTCCCATGGGATTGAAATTTGGCAAAATTGTGGCCAATTCAATGCCATTGTGCTGCTGTGGTCAGCTGAGGTCATGTGATCATCATGGGCCTCTTTCCCACTTCCCTCTGACCCCTGTGTCCAATCAGCTGGTGGCAAGGCCCAATGGGTGAGCAGTGATTGGCTGTAATTCAGATACCTGCTGGCGAGGTAGTGCTGGCTGGGAGGTGCTGGCAGTTGACGGGTGAGTCCTCTTCCTCCCTGGAGGGAGGTAGCCCTTGAGGACATGCCAGAATGGGGAGTGGGGGTACACTTTTCCTCCTGGGTTCCCCCTCCCCCCAGCAAATTGGCAGGCAGTTCCATAGGTCAGAGGAGGAAGAGGAGGAGGAGGAGGCAGTGACTTCATCAGGCCTCTGCTGAGGTTCATGAAGGGAGGGGAAACAGTGCCAGCTGGCAGGAAGTCAGAAATCATTCCTGCTCCCACTGCTTTTTTGCCCACATGTGGTCATTCTGTTGATCTGCTCAGGTAAGTAAATATCTCTGAAATGATGACCCAGTGGGTCACAGTTGTCTAGTTAGCTTTAAATGTAAGGTCCCTGCTTTTTCCTGCCACAGTGTCAAGAAAACAAGGAGGCATGCTGAACCGGACTTATGTTGCTTATTTCCCAGATTCCTTGTATTTGTTAATTTCAATCACTCTCCTCTGTCCATGAAGGAAGACACCTGGTTGCAAAGCAGCTAGTCCATTTCATAGTAGTTGTTCTTCTCAAAGAGCCAAAAGGATCAACCTGATGCATTTCCCCATGGAGGTCATTCCACATAGCTGAAGTCACTTCTGAGAAAGCCCTGTTTTGCAAATGATCGCTTTTCTGTCTGTTAGGCAGTGGCATCAACAGTACTGCCTTCTTCATTTTTACTTCACAGGGGAGACAGCAATCATTTGGAACAGATATTCCAAGGCTCAAAATGTTGAGAATATTTTTAAAGCTGAACACCATTGTCTTGCATTTGGCCTAGAAACTGCCTTCAAAAATTCCCATTTTGTGCTAGTAGAAATGATGACTTTGTACGGTGAATGGTTTGGCTTATGGAGAAGTGTTAGTAAGGAAACAAATTAAAATGCTTACCTTGTAAACATTAGTAGGTCTGAGGAAATGCATGTGCCATTTATAACAGCTTTCAATTAGAGCCTTTGCCCAAACTTATCACATGTTATACTTTATTTATGGCTAGAAAAACAGGTCCCACATATTAAGTTGATTCTGGAAATCTCGTTTGTTTTTGAAATCAAATTTGAGAGCCAGTTTGGTCTGCTGGTTTAGGCACCAGGCTAGAAAGCAGGAAACTGTGAGTTCTAGTCCTGTTTTAGGCATGAAAGCCGGCTGGGTGACTTTGGGCCAGTCACTCTCTCTCAGCCCAAGTTACCTCACAGGGTTGTTGTTGTGGGAAAAATAGGAGGAGGAAGGAGTATTAGATATGTCGCTGCCTTGAGTTATTTATAAAAATAATAAAGGCAGGATAAAAAAATGTCTATGGTTTGTTGAATTAAGCACTAGTTTAATGTTATATATAAGGATTAGTTTTGTTTAGTACAGATGAGATGTATAATATTTTAATGGCTTTGCCTGCCTGCCTGCCTGCCTGCCTGCCTGCCTGCCTGCCTGCCTGCCTTCCTAAATATAATAGAAGAAAAGAAAAAATAAGGTATATTGGCAGGCTCACAACACAATCATAAATAAATATAATCAGTAACAAGCGTTCAGAGTTCAACAGAACATTCTCTACCCAAATGTATTGGGCAGAGAAACTTAGTGAAACCTGCTTCTGAGAAACATGCAAAATGTTATTCTGGACTTATATTCCATTGTTTTGCCTCTTGCAGTTATTCATGCTAAAATAAAGAGTGTGGAGAGAGGAAGCTGCAATGAAATAACCACAATGGTTGATGTGAAAAATGTTTTGAAATCTCTGACTCCAGTTCCTCGTGCTCTGATTCCTCTGTATACTAATTCCTCTTGCCAATGTCCACCTCTTCTGCCAAATCAAGTTGTACTCATTATGTGTTATGAGTGGCACACGAGGTAAGTGATGATAACACAAGGAAGCCATATTGAGATTTCATAGCAACCCCGTTTTCTTCTGGTAACACACAGCAAACTGTACTTATTACTTGCTTGAGATTTCCAGTAAAATGAATGCATATAGCTTTGGAGACAAGACATGTATGCATCAGAAAGCCCACGCATTGTAGAAGCTACAGAGCTGGATCTGGAGAGACCTTGATTCAAATCTGTTTTCAGCTATAATACTCAGCAGAACATTTCAGATCAGTTTATAAGGCTGCATTGGTAATATTGTCTTATAAGCCCTGAGCAGCAGTCTAAGCATGTCAGTGTTTAGCAATAGGCCCTGTGATTTGTATACCACATCCATAGATGTGACTGTATTAGTGCTTTTATTAACAAAAGCAAGAATGATGGTAAGAAAGAATAGAAAAGATGGATTTTGAAAAGTTAAGGAAAAGTTGAACTTCTGAGTTTTGATTCTGGAAGAAGTGGGAGGGAAAATGGGAGGAGGGATTGCAATGTAATAAACACAATATTGGTTAATCTTGAGATATTTTAGAATATCAATACATAAGGGTGAATGCTTCCAAAATTAAGCTCAGGAATGGAAAGGGATTAGAAAAAGTTCTACATTTCATGGAACAAACTTGCCAGTGATGTTTCCAAAGGTCTTTGAGGTTTTCATTTTATGTATTTTGTCAAAAGATTTGAAAAAGACAGTAAAAACAAAACATTGAGTTTCCCATTGAACTCAGCCATATATAAACAGAGGTTGAGTTACAGTGGCTTTTAAAAATGTCAGAAGTAACGGTCACTTACTTGGAAAAGTGCTGAAGGAAATACCACATTCTTGTTTCTATCACAACTCCTCCTTTTGTGATTATATTGTGGGTCTTGGTCTTGGATTAAAGGATATGGAAGCCTTAGATTGAACCAGGGCCATTAGGGCAGGACTTGGGTTGCCTGTTGCTTGTGTTGTAAGACAGAATACTTTTTTTTAACCTTTTCAAGAATTGCACAAGGAAAACAGCATGTTACCCAGATGCATACATAGATTAAGGTTGAGTTATCCAGTCATAAGTCAACTCAGCAGGATATATGTAAGCCCATTGATCTTTTGTAATAGGTTTTCCCAAATTGGCACCCTCCAGTTATATAGGTTGGGAATTCTGGGTGTATACTCTTAGCACATTTGGGGACAACAGGTTGGGGAAGATTAAGAACATTCCTTGATGGATGGTGGCCTGTGTTTCACTTTGTTAAACAAACAAAGCTGTGGCAACTCTTTTAGAATTGTATAACAGCACAGCAACTTAGAATGAAAAAGAATTTGCATGAGGCAAAACAGTGATGAGGGACTATGTTACAAAACCTTGAGCTCTCATTGCTTTGGGAAGATTTGTACCAAACCTGATTCCAAAATGTCTGCTGAGTCAAAACTAACATTAATCTCCAAATAATACTATTATTATAACCTCAGGCTAGGGTCTAGTCTAGCCCTAACTTTTTGGATCCCAATAGGCACCTGATAAACTTATCAATTCACTCTAAATTATTTCTGGAATTGATTTCCAGTGGAAAGGTATCCACCCATGAAGCAAACAAATGCATTTTAAATAATTCTAGATATAATTGCTCTATATAGAATATTAATACATTAATAGTTTTAATACAATATAAAACTACATATATTGATGCTTTTTCATGGATGGTTGCTTTCATGATCTTGGAAGCACTTTTTAAACTGTTTTGGAAGAAAAGCTAGTATCTTTGAACAATGCAATATATAAATATTCTTTTTATTTAACTATACTATATTTACTAATGAGAACATTGCCAAAGGGAAATTAAAAGAGTAAGTCTCAGTGACAGTATCCAAGGCCTTAAAGATTATAGATCTCTCTCTTCACTGCAGAGAAAGTAGTCTAAGGTTGGAGAGAGAGATCCACTGACAGGACTTCTATTGTTACAGTGGTGGAAACTCCTGCCACTTTTGCTTGCCCACTGTTGATGATTTGCCACTAAAGGCAAAACATAAGTGGACCATGGACACATCAGTGGAGACTTTAGATCTCCAGTTTCCAATGCCCTCTCATTTCCCAGTACAAGGACAGAATCTACACCAGTCCAAGAGGTGGTATTGTTAATGCTTTCCCCTATTAATATTAGTGCTAAGGGATTAAGAAAAGAACAGGACATATATTTAATTCTCCTAGCCATAAACCATCAAGCCACTCCCATCTGCCTGCCATACACTCCTCCTGCACTGAAATCAAAGGTCTTACAAAGTAAGAATAAATGAAGTCCTGATAAATCAAGTTAAAAATCCATTTAGCTCAGCCTTCTGGGTTATGTGAGTGATAACCAAATATATTCAGGAAGCTCACAAGTTGGGCACAGGAACATTTTCTTACTTCTGTTCCATAACAACTGGTATTAAACATATGTAAGGTAATATTAGCAGCCAGCCAATGGTAACTGATCCCCCATGAATTTGCCCAGTTCTCTTTTAAAACTATCTAAACTGGTGGCCATTACTACATATATTGGCAATAAATCTCATGACTGAGATGGGCTGAAGATTGTATACATTTCTTTTTGATCTTCTTAGTTCTGCAATTATTTTAGGTTGATGCTTCTTGATGGATGCTCAGTTGAAAAATGGAAGGATCCATTAGGCAAAAGGTTTAAGGTAAGAGCAGATTCCTGGCATTTCCAAGTATATACAATGGATGAGATGCATAGTGGCAAAAGGTATGCTAGCCTGTAGCCCATGGTCAAAGTAAGCAAGCATAGAGAGATACAAATCCTCACTGAATACCCCCTCCCCCCAAAAAATCATCCACATTCATCCTTGAATTTACAGAACCATGTATAACCATTTTCATCACTGGATACTGTTATTGTTATGGCTAGTTAGCTAAGCACATATGTACAAGAAGCCATATTAGGGGCATATTTGCATAAGTCCTGTTAGTATACAAACCAGCTGTATTTGTTATAAACACAACACTAAGGTTTATCCTTCCCCACCACAGGATTTCAGGGAGAGGTATTGTAACAACCACTTCCTTGGCAGGCTGGTCCAACTCTTTTTCCAACTGTTCTGGGGATTTCTTTTTTCTTTTCTTTTTGTATCTGATTATTTATCTTTCTGGAAATTCCCTCCAAAATCTCTTTCGTTATGTATTAGTGGAAAAATAAAAATAAGAAAGCCACTTTTATCTCCACAGAGCAATATATTTTTGGAAAGAACTATTTAACAGTGTTTTAGCTGTTAAGTCTTATTGTTTTCCCCCCAGAGTAAGATTTTAATGAGCAGAAAGAACAAATGGAGTATTTAAAATGTGTGGAAGTCTATGCTAGGTGTAATAATATAAAATATTATTTTAAAACAAAAACTGGAGAGGTGGGAGCATAAGATTAATATGTACTGCATCAGAATGGATATGTATGGCAGGCTTTTCATAGTACCAGATTAGAGCATTTGAGTCTAGACCAAATTGTGCTCTTAGTGGGAGTCTGCTGTGTTTGTAGAGGAAAAAAATGCATAAAGATACCTTGTGGTGACTGGAACTTGTAAATCAACCTTCACAAATCTGCCACTATCTTGCCCTCAACAAAGAAAGAAAAAGTTACTCATTCCTACCCCATAGCATTGGCTCTACTTGCTGCTTTTCTGTCTGTCCAACCAGCTATGAAGCACTGAGGCTGAGTCCCAGATGCCTAGAAGAAAACCATCTATTCTTATTGAAGTATGATTTTAAAAAGCATCAACTGCCAAGTGCTGCTAAATCAGGCATTTCTGGAAGTACAGCAAAGTTTGTGGGGAAGTGAGAATGATTTTGTTTTATAGTTGGGATTTAATTCATTTACTTTTTTTCTAACAAGTATCAAGGCTATTGTCAGTGTTTCACTGATAGTGAATATCCATGAGCGGACTGAGGGTATGGCTTCCAGTGTGACCAAAGTTTTCTGAATGCTGATATTGTTTTATGTTATATTTCCTAGCGATGGGAACAGAGACTCCAAGAACAGAAACTACAAGCAGCTTCTAATAGAAACCTGAATGCCAGAAACTCAGGTCACGGTGGGACACCAAAACAAAATTCAAAGAAAAGCAATCCCGTGCTCACCAGTCCCAAGAAGATCAATAAGCTCAGAAATCACCAAAAAGAAATTAATTCTAGAAAAATATGAGTTCCACCTTTTTTTCCTGCAGCAAAGCTGGCAAGCTGGCCTGAGCAGCACATGAATTGTGGAACTGAACCTAAACATTTCATGCTGCAAATTATTTGCAGCGTTTTATTTGTAAAAGATTGCTTTTTCACTTTAAAGCACAGATAGAGTTTTGCACTAACCTGAGAGAGTTGATGACGCAGCCTACATTTAGCATTGCAAGTCATAGTTGATCAACAAGCATCTGGATTAGTAGCTCTCTGATTTAAACATGCCAATGTGCCTCCCGTGATAAGAATGGTTTTGCATAGCTGCAATAGCAGAAGAGCAATAATTTATTTTGGCATTTATCTAATTTCTTATCACAATGCTAGACTCTCTCTGGTATCCTGAAGAAATTTGCTGAGCTTGGGAATGAGATGCCATGCCTTTGTCCTTCACCCTCTCTTCATCACAGGGGAAAAGCCAGTGGCTGTTTTGTCAAGAATGCATAGACAACTTCACAGTGTTATTGAACTGTATGCAGATTTCTGGGGCAAAAATATATAAGGCTGCTATCCTAAATACACTTACAAAGGAATAAGGCATACTGAATGTAAGGGGGCTTACTTTTAAGTATGTATAGGACTGCAGTATAAAACATGCTTTTTTAAAAAACTTCAACTCAGCTTTGTTTATAAGTATTCATTGTTATACAGTATATTGTTATACTTACACATTTATAAAAAGCCATTCATTCAAAGACCTACTACTACCAAACTGAAAACTTGAACTTACTTACTTGCCACATATAGACTTATTAAAAATGAGTATTAAATCAAAATTATTTAACTTTGCTAACTAAAAACACAATAGGAAATTCTCAAACTTTGTCTCAAAATATTTTATAAAAATGGAAAGGCATCTCTGGAACTAGTTTAGCAAAGCTGAAATATTACAATTTTATTTTAATTTGCCACATTCTACAGGTCTCCCAATATTAAGATGTGGGTATGGTTTCTCTTCCACATTTGGGACTTCCCATTCATTTTAATGGGCAGCACTTGTTAGCCGTCATATTCTGTTTTGTGTATGGAGTGGATTTCTCAGGTGAAAGAGATGAAACTTTGAAAGTGGAGGAAATGTTTTCAGCTCTCAAATTCCCATCCTCCTAAATTAAATTGGATTAGGGCAATTGACTACAGTGCAGAAAAGCATGCAGGAATATCTGCAGTATAGGGTATTTTTGCTGCCTGTTTAATCCATTCAGTTCTACTAAACTGAATACCCACTGTACTATACATGAAACTGATAATGATTCCCATCAAGCTTATTTGAGGTAGTGGTGTTTGAATGAGACTCTGCCTATTGAATATTCATGATTTAGTTGCTAAGTATCACACAATCAGGATCTTAGTATTAGATGAAGAACAGCTTATGTGAAGGACCTTTGCCTCCCATGCCTTCTGCTATGCCTATGGTTTTCTGATTTATCACCACCATATTTAGTACATTCTTCTAGTTGTACATTAAGGGTGAAATTCAAAGCAGCTCACTTGCGTATATCTGAGCTTTTGTTGTGGTGGTAGTACATGTGCTCCGTAGAAGAATGCCAATTAGGAATCCATACTTGAAGCACTGGCAAGTTCAAAAATGAAACTGACGTTTCCCTCACTGAAAATCCTGGACAATAAATCTAAATAAAATCATTTGGCTGGGCATACATGTGCATTAGGATTTTGATGAATTAGGGCCAGAGTGTCTTTGTCGAAGCCATCTTGCAATCTTATGCAATGATAGAATAGTCTTAGGACAAGTAATTTTTTTTGCTCTCTGTTATTGAGCACGTTTACCTATAAATAATGCATAAAGACATACCTTACAAACAACTGCCACTGTGTGTCTTTTTTATTGACAAAAGAAACCTATCTTTCTCTCGTCTTTGCTGATTTGACAATTCTTGATATAGTTTTGTTATGTGTGATGCTAATTAGCTGGAAGGGGGCAGTGCACCATACTCATGGGCTTCTGACTTCCCCTTTCAGTTAATTTGCACCTTCTGTTATTTGATCAGAAAGAAAGGAAAGAAAATGTGGCACCTTCTTTCTGCTTTTAAGCAAAATTAATGTTTAAAACTGCTCTGGGAAAAGGGAGCAAAGATGCAAGAATAACAAGTTAGTAAGCATTACCCAGGACAGGAAGGCCTGGCGCAATATGGTTCATGGGGTCACGAAGAGTCGGACACGACTTAACGACTAAACAACAACAACAAAGCATTACCCCTCCTGGCTCTGCTCCAGATGCACAGAGCTGTTTCCTTCCATGCTAAATAGCTGTAATGAGACCTGAGTTCATTCAATGACATGTGTTTCTTAAGCATTATAATGTATCTATTGAACGTCTGTTGAATCTAGTTGGAGAAAAGTAAAATAATCATCTGAACAGTGTATTTCTGTTTTAAGAAACATTACTATAGTGTAGTTCTTTCTAGCAAATGTAATGGTTTGAAAGTTCTCCAACAGTTTAGAGCGCTGCTAGCTTCTGATAGTTTATTTCTGTGAAAAATGAACTCTGTATCATTTGTCTGTTTGAAATTAGAAGGAACCATGTAAAATGATTGCCATCATAGAATTTGGGCCATTTTTTCACACCATAAGCAACCATGATTGGCATTCCACAACACAGAATTAGCTGTATTTGACAATCGTACTTTTATTTATTTTCAGATTTTAAATGTTCCCATAGCACGTTAAACAATTTTAGCTCAGGAAAAAAATGAACCTTTTCTTAATCTTACTCTGTGTCTCTGTGTGTGTATATTCATATTCACATGTGAAAGATGACTGCATTTGTTATACAGTATGTGTGGAAATATACTCTTATAAAGAACACAGCACAGTGAAATGCACATTTGTACAGATATATCATTTCTACAGTCATTTTTGACTGTGTATGTCTCCTTCTTTCAAGCACCACATAAGTAAATCTTATGGTTCAAATTACAAGGTACACCCAATTTATGACATAAAATCAGCATAGATCTTGTGTTCCACATATTTATCTGAGAAGAGGTGTTCAGAAATAAAATATTAATAGTATTAGAAGAACATGGGTTGAAGATCATTAAGAAAAGAGAATTGACTGGCACTGCTGCTGAGCAGAGTGATGTCATTTCAGGTAGCATAGTTGGGATGTCACCAAAAAGGCAGCACTGACTTTTCTACATGTGACTTCTCATGGCATTCTTCTGCCTCAGGTGCTAAAATATGTTAGTCCCTTCCGATAAGATGCATCTTGATTTCAGGTTTGTGCTGCAGTTAACTATTTACTGCTCTGCCTGAGGCTCTGGAAATACAGCTCCTCCAGAAACAACTGCTGTAGGCCAGGCATTACCTGTCCTAGGTTAATGAAAACCAAGAGTTCTCTATTAGCTTTCATTAACCTAGCCTAGCTGCCATCAGCCAAGAAAGATACATATCTGGCATATAATTCATCTTTTTTAGATTCTGATCCTGACTGTACAAGGGAGAATATTCCCCAAATCATAAACTAAGTCAGACCAAGCACCCTACATGTACATATTAATTTATTCCAGGGAGCTACTCTGGAATTACTTCATCACATCATCTCTTGAAAGTTAGTTCAACACTGAAAGTATGACTTATCTAAGACAATTTACCTTCTTGGCTGAGCAGGATTCCCCATTCAGACTAATATCAGTTTTATTTGGTCTGTTCCCCTCCACCAGTAGAGTCCCTGAAGAGATTAAAAAAAAAATTTTTTTTCAAATCAAACTACCCAGGCATTTTAATAGGGGAATAATAAAACTACTGCTATAAAAATTCTCTTTAAGAACATAAAAGAACCTTGCTGGGGCAAACCAAGGTTCACTTGCTCCAATGTTTTTGTAGGGATAAAACAGCCATTAAATGCTAAATGGTCTTCAAAAACTCCACCCCATGTTCTTTCTTCTTTTTTGCCCCTCCCTATTCTAGCCAATAGACCAGGTGACTAGTATCCATTGATTTTATATCTCGATTGAGGCTCTTTCACATCATCACCACTTCTACTTCCCAATTCTTCACAAAAAGATTTGTGATTGTCTTTCCTGTCATTGGGTTTTAGTGCCAATGGAATTATTAATAATATTTATTACAGGTATTCATGTGCTTCCATCTATTTATATTCTGTATGAAATTTGATGATGTTACAAGATATCAAACAGACGTAGTTACTTTCACCTTAAAGTTTTTAAAAGATTTTTTTTATCCCACCTTTATTACTTTATAAGTAATTCAAGGTGGTGAACCTACTTAATACTCCTTCCTCCTCCTATTTTCCCCACAACAAAGCCCTGTGAGATGGGTTGGGCTGACTGGCCCAAAGTCGCCTAGCCAGCTTTCATGCCCAGTGTGGAACTAGAACTCACAGTCCTCTGGTTTCTAGGCCAGCACCTTAACCACTACACCAAACTGGCTCTCACAAAGTTTATTTATTTATCTCAAAGTTAAGATAATATTCATAATGGTGAAAGATGTATTCTTAATTTGCAGGGGTCTTGTCAATTATAATTAGTAACACGTTATTTCATAAAAGACATACTAAAATTTATTTATTTGTACAGATCATATATTGCTGATAACAGGTCATCTTTGAAATTCTACACATAAACATATTTGTGTTTTAGGTCCTCTAAATCAATATCTCCATAGATAAACTTAATGCTTTGTTCAGCATGTTCCTGATTTGAGGACCCATGAACAGCATTGCGCAGAATATCTTTTGCAAATCTAGCGCGTATTGAATTAGGATGTGGTTTTTTTGCTTGTGCTGGATCTGTTGGTCCCATTAATTGTCTCCATTCATCCACAGCATTTTCTTTGGTTAGAATCATGACCATTGATGGGCCTCTAGAAAAGCAAGACAACCAACAAAATATGAGACGCTTATAGTCTGATTCTGCAATGAAAACACTGAGTTGACATAACTAATGCTACATGCTGCATGAGATAAACAGGTCAAAACCATCTTGGATACACTGCCTATTTGATTACATCACAGTGTGTCGGAAGTTTACAGTATCTTTAACCCTATGTAACAGAAGCCAAGGATCATCAAATTATACATCATGCATAGATGTCTTTCCTATCGCTCCCATCTCTGCCTGTATTTGTGCTTTGCTCTATGTCAATCTGCCTGTTCTCCATTTGTAGAAAAACCTATGATACAGTATCCTCATATCATAACTGATGCTAGAATTAGAAGTCCCATTTTTGCTGGCTTTCCCCCCTCAGAGCCTTCAGTTGCATAGAAGTCCTCCATGGATAGAAGAGTCTCTCTGTCTCTGCTTTTCAAAAGAGGTATGTTGGATAGCACTCTTCAAAATGTTACTGCAGCCATGACAAAAACAAAAATTCCTTAAATTAAATTAAATTAAATTAAATTAAATTAAATTAAATTA